CGCGAAGCGGGCCGGCCGGAGTCTCCAGCGCCTCGTGGGGACTGCGGGCCACCTACTGTCATGTCAGCAGGGCACTTAGGGGCTGTTGGAGAGGGGAGGGGGGAGGGGGTGGGCAGGCCCTGGCAATTAAAATGCCCTGGGGTAGGCGTCTTCGAGAAGGTGAGCTCTGAGCCAAGCTTCGGGGGACGGAGGGAGGAAAACCAGGGGAGCCCCCGAAGGCCAGGGCCGGACCTGGGCCACCGTCTCCGCGCCCGCCCCCCACACTGGCGCTGGGGGCCACCTGGGCGGCCTTTTTCTGTGCACACTGCTGAAGCGTGTCACCGGTCCGTTCACAGCTGTCTCTCCTGCGAGGCTATGACCCCGCGGGGACAGGCATTGCACCTGGGATGCTGGCGCATGAAGCAGCGCTGGCCCCTGAGCGAGGAAGTCCCTCCCCAGTGTCCCCTGAGGCCAGGACAGCAGCTGAAGACGGCCGTCCCCGTCCTGGGAGAGTAGCTTGTGTCCAATGCCAGGGCCCCTGCAGGAAGCGGGGCTGGGAACGGGTGGCCACATTCAGCCTGCCAGCTGCACGGGACGGCGCCCGCTCAAAATGGCACTTTAAGTCTCTGTGTAGCCTGGGACTGGGGGCGCAGCCCGGCGGAGCTCTTCTCACATGGGGGCGGGGGCGGCTCTACGACACTCTTACTTTGCTTCCCAAGGGAACCTCCGTCCCCTCACAGTGTTCCTCAGACTTCTTGGCAACTGTCCCCATCCCAGTGCCTCTGCCGCGGGAACTCTTTCCTGCCTCGCATTTCTTCAAGTAGCTCTTGGGCGGTCTTCCTGTGGGGTGGCCTCGGGGTGCTGCAGCGTTCACAGCGTGCGTTTTGGGAGATTAGAGACAAACAAGTAACCACAAAAGAGAAAGTGATGACCCACCAGGCCTGAAGCTCGGGTTTAACTCCAGGCACAGCCCCGAGAAAGGCTTCTTTACGAGATGGAAGGGGCCCTGGTTTCTCAGCCCTGCATGGACTCCGGACCCGGGTCAGCCTCACCTAGTCTCGTGTCTGCTTCGAAAGTTGTTATTACTGTTCTTTGCATGGCTGCTAAACCCATTTCCTTCATTGTGAAATACACTGTATATACAGAAAGGTGCATTCGATTCTACGTATAGTTTTAAGAACAGCAGTAACGCAAGCTTCTGTGTAAGCCACAGCCCAGGGGAAGAAAGAACTCACCGGCATTTTAAAACCCGCACCGCTGTCCTCACCCTGGGCCTGCAGGTAACCTCTGTTTCGGCTTCTATAATAACTATCGTTTTTCAATGCTTTATGTTTTTGTACTTTATATAAATGAGATTTCATTGTATGTGTTTTCCTGTTACTTGTTTTTTCCACAGAATAATATGCTTAGGAGACTCATCCCTGTTAATAGCACGTAGCTGTAGGTCATTCGTTTTTACCGTTAGGTATTATTTCATTGATTAATGTACTAGTTTATTTATCTAATCTGTTGATGGATAATTCGGGTCGTTTTTAATTTTCTGCTGAAATGAGCAGCGTCGCTGTAAACACCCTTTGACGTGTCTCCTGGCGCACGCGGGTGAGACTCCAGGAGGGCGAGTCACTTGTTACTGCTGCGTAACCAATTAGCACAGGCTTATGGGCTTAAAACGGCATTTACGATCTCTCGGCGTCTGAGATCGGAACTCCCAGAGCAGCTGCGCTGAGCGGTTCTGACTCAGAGACTCTGGTGAAGGTGCCGGCTGCGAGCCAGCTCAGGGCCATCTCAGGCTCTCCCCGGCCAGGCAGGAAGCTTCACCGTGCCGCGCGAGCCTGTTCCTCGGTGGCTGGGCGGCTGGTCTTCCAGTGGAGTGATCCAGGCTGAAGCCACATCTGCTGTCCGTGCCGGTTCTGTTAAGCTGTCGTCTCTCGCCGTCCGCCCAGCTACCTTTGTGTGCTGGACATCACTTTAAACCTATTCGTGGAAGTAATTTGAGGCCTAGAGTGATGCTGTCTTCTGCCGAAGTGGGTTTTTGTTCGCTGCGTCACCAGCGGCTCGCGATCGCCGTAGTATAGCTTCGGAGTGTGGGGTGATTGGGGCCACCTAGGTGGCTTGAAGCTGGGATGCCTCTGCTCCTACGGTGCGGCTCAGTGGGTCCCAGCGGAGGACGAGGCTAGTTCCCAGGGCGCTCGCCTCGGCGGGCCCTGCCCCGGCGCTCTGCCTGCTGGCCACGAAATGCTGTGGGCGGCATGGTTCGGCCTCCCCGCTGCCTGTTCCCCTTGGCAGCAGCCCCGGGCCAAGGCGGCCCCGGGGCAGGCTCTCGCCTTTGGGTGCCCTTCTCTCCCGGATGCGAGCCTGGTGATCCCTCCCCATCTTGTCAGGCGTCCGGCATGTTGCAGAGGGGTGTTTCGTTCCGTCCGTTTTATTTCTGTGGAAGGGACTGGTCAGCAGTGGACATTCTCTCTCCTGTATTCCTCGCATGCGGTTTCGGGTGGCCGTGTCCCTCAGTCCACCTGCGGGTGGCCGTGTCCCTCAGTCCACCTGGGCTCCATCTTAGGGTTGCTGGGGAGGAATCTGCCCTCGTCATTCACCTTTGACACGAAGTGACACGTTATCCTCTTTGGTCACCTAAACGGTATTATTCTGACTTCTGCGTACGGCGGTTCCAATTCTGAGCCCAAGTGCAGACTTTTGGGGTTCCTTTGAGTCCCTGGTGTAGTCAGTGTGGGGAAATTCTCGGCCACTGTGTCCTCAGACGATGCCCCTGACACAGGCTGGCCTCGCTCGCTGACCCTCAGGCCTCCTCCTGCCGGCCTCTCGCCTCTCGGCCACACCGTAGGCACCTTCTTGGCTCTCCCGGCTAACGTCCGCCCTGCCGGCTCCTGTCTACTATGCTGTCAGACCGGTTCGTCGAGTTTTAAATGTAAGTACTGAATTTTTCATTTCTAAAAATTCTTTCTGGGTCTTTTCAGATCTTCTCTGCCATTCTTTCAAGTTTCTTGGTTCTGCATGTGTTTCCAAGCTCGCCTTTTACGGAAACGTGGCTCTTCTGTGGTCTGCGTCTATAACGCCGGTGTTTGAAGCCGGTCTCTGCTCTCTGCGGCTTCGGCTGGTTTTCTCTCACGCTTCTTCGTCTCCCTGCTGGTTCCCTTGTTTTCCGGCTGCGAATGACGCCCTTCCTGTGGGGTTCTATTTCAGGAAATGCTTGGAGGGCTGAGATCGAGCTGCGATTCCCCAGAGAGAATTTCCAGGTTCGTCTTCGAGATGTGGGGAGTGCTCCCCGATGCGAGGAGTGCTCCCCGATGCCGGGAGTGCTCCCCGATGCCGAGTACATCGGCGCCTTCAGGTCTTCTGGGCCACCCAGGCAGTGTGATTTTGTGAGCGAGCTGGCTCGTGATCCAGATTTTTAATGCCATTTGCAAAGAGGCCACTGAACATTCTCTTGTTTTTGGGAAAAAAACCCAAGTCACAGACGTGACAGTTGCTGGTAGGGTTTGATTAGCGCCGTGACGGTTTGGGTTTAAGTTTCCCACTGCGATAACCGTGTCGTGGATCGGAAGCCATGGACGAGGATGTGTTCCTTTGGGGCCGTGTGATCTCCCGATGATTTTGAGTGCTGTAGACAGAGTGTTTGTGTCCCTCTGAAATTCGTTTGTTGACACCTTGGCACCCTACCCCCGTGTGACACCGTAGGACGTGGGGCCTTTGGACGGTGATGAGGTCCAAGGGTGGCTTCTCGTGAGTGGGGTCAGGGCCCTCATGACAGAGACCCAGAGAGCTCCCGGGCCCTGCACCATGTGAGGACACAGTGGGAGACGAGGCGCCTGCGAGCCAGCGGGGGTGTCCCCACCCGACACTGCGTCCGTCTGGGACTCACAGCCTCCAGAACTGGGACAAATCCATGGGACAAAAGGTTACGTGTCTACAGACCGACTCCAAAGTTCTTTTCAATATACGTATGCAGAGAATTATTCATCTTTTCCCTCAAACGTTTGTTTTAACGGCGCGTGTCACACGTGAGCAGGCCCGGCCCCCACGCTGGCACGCACGCCCAGGTGTGCTCCGTCCTCTCTGCGAGGGCCGCTGAGTCGTCCGGTGACGCCGACAGGCCTCTCGTTTCTCAGGAGGTTTTCAGGCTTCAGTAGAACATTCTGGACGTGTGGTAGGAACGTGGGGGGAGGCTCTGGGGGGCTCCCCTTCCCAGGTTTCTTACTGCTCGCCTTCATTTTCGGTAGGAAGGGACTGTGACCCGTCCGCTGAGTGAGGGCGGGGACGCTGACGTGGCCCGTGGCCGTCGTCCGTGCCCCTTCGCCGCTGTGACAGGTGCAGGTGTTCGCACGGGACGGTCACCAGGAGAGACGCCGATTTCACGGCTTCTTAGACCAGTGAAAGAATCGGAATCCAGACTTTGGTGGCTGAAGCTCTGAAGAGTGTTTTCCTCGGCGTCCGCTGGTGCGAGGATGCCAGCATTTGTCGGCGTGTGTGTTCTGTAGTTACCGAGCCGTTGAGCAGTTACGATTAATTTTCGCCTGCAAAGAATCTAATTGCGGCACCAGCAAATGAACTTTGACGTGAAACTTGGTGATACATTATCCATCCTGGGGCTTTTCTCATAATATAATGGCTGCGAATGGCACATTGAAAGACAAACACCATGAAATCTACGCAAAACGCAGTCATTATTCAGATGTTTCCTGAGTTTTCTGGAATAAATTAATTTGAAGTGAAAGAACATTTTTTTCTCTATAAAACAAAATGTTATAAGCTAATAATTACTTTTAAAAAAAGCCCCATAAAGCCTAGCATCGAAGATTTCTTTTGTGGAGAAAGCCACATTCACAGCAGAATGTAAAATCAGAGCATTGTGCGTGTGCATGTGTGTGCATGTGTGCGTGCATGTGTGTGTGCATGAGTGCATGCGTGTGCGTGCATGTGTGTGCACGTGCGTGTGTGTGCGTGTGCGCATGCACGCGTTTGTGAGACACCTCAAAGAATTTAAATTACAGTAGGATTTTTCTTTCGTAGCGTTCAGTTTCGGCAGGGTAGGGACGATGACGAGATTCTCTGAGGCAGGAAGGAGCAGAGGAGGTGACAAGGAGCTGGGCGAGTCACACCTGGGACTCTGCTGTGACTTTGGGTCGTCGTGGGGCCCTGGGTGAGCTCACAATTGTGGGCCTTTCGTGACCTGGTGCAAAGGGGGATTGAATTAGATCTCTATGGTCCCTCTCAGATTAGTGACGGTATCTGAGGGGAAACAATGCCAGTTAAGAGACAGCGTTCCCGGGTGACACCAGCCGTGGCGGGTTGGAAGACCATCCAGCGATGATGAGGCCGTTATTCACTGACACAGATGCTGGCCGTTTTGGGGCTCTCGATTTTAGCTTTAAATTGCTGCGGAGTTTTATACTGCGATGCTGAAAAGGAGTCAACTCTAAAGAGCGTCAAAGGTGTCATCCGAATATTTACCTTCTAATTAGGTTTATCTTTCTTTTTCTTTTTTGCAGTTATATTCATATAGTTTCCAGAAAACCTGCAAAGATGAAAAAGTTGAAGGAAGTAAGTGTTCACTGCTAACTGCTAAGAATGGGACGAATTGGATGATCTGGTAAAAATTAAAATGTCAGTATCGAATAATTGAAGTTTTACAAGCAGCACTTTGTAGAGAGCGCTTACGAAGGCACGTTGCTCTCGACGCCAGAGCTCGCTGTGCAGGCTTTTGCCACACTTGTCAAAGCGCCGTGGTCACCACGGTGCTGCCGATCGGAAGGGTCTAGGACCCCAGCTGGGGAGACAGCCATCTTCCAGAGGCTCCGTGCAATTGCTCTTTTGTTTTGGGGACTGGGAAAGACGGCTGTCAGGAGAAGTTATTTTAAGTTACGCGAAGCCGAAGCTAGTCACGACGCCCAGTTTAAAGGGCTGCCCCACGCTGTCGACGTTTTTGTAGTGGGTGGACATCGGAGGGGTCTAGGGGATGGAACATTCCATCCTTCTGCTCACATCATGTGATTCTTAGCGAAACAAGAACAACCGCCCCCCAAACCCCCCACAACCTTTAAGATGCAAGGTAAAAGAGACCCACCCTTCTTAAAATAAGCAACAGAAATTGCCATGTTTCGATCTGCATAGCCTGTAGATACTTAGGATGTAACGTGGTTTGTACTTTAAAGAAATGGACCTTCATTGTGAGGAGTGTTTCGGGGTGACATGCTGTTAACGCATCCGCTTCTCTGGGTGGTGGTTTTGCAATCATTGGGTTTTCTTCTCCATAAAATGAGATGAGGGTCTTTACCGCGAAAGACCTTGGTGAGATTAAAAGGCGAATCTGGGCCACGCACCGGCTCTGGGCTGGGGTCATTCTCCTCCTCTGCGTCTCGACGAGGCGGGACTGCTCTGTGTCCTTGACCCACCACCTAGTGTCCCAGTGCAGGACCTCCCGGTGGCTCCAGCAGGGGTCACGAGCAGCGGCATTTAGCTGCTTGTCCCAGTCAGCACTTCGAGGCAGGGCGTGAGTCAACTAAAATGTACTCCTTACCCACTTAAACTGTAGCTTGCCAGGGCAGGAGGGCAAGTTAGCGACCGGAAGTGATTCTGGCGGTCAGTGAAGAGTGAAAATGGCGTTCGGTTATCCGCGAGGCCTCCGTGCCTGCTTCTCCCTCTGCAGGTGACGATTCTGAAAAGTGCCCTGCAGAGCAGTTCTTCAGTCTGAGTCCATGTTTCTCTTTTGCACGATTCAGTGATTTAAAAAATGAAAAACGATCCCGAGGAAATGTTCAGCCTTTCAGGACAGGAAGGAACTTCCAGGTCGTGTCGTCAAACCTCACTGTTTTCCAGCGGAGGTCGCCTTGCTCGGGGACGGGGGGCGACGTGGCCGGCGTGAGTGAGCTTTCCAGACTTTCACACCTGCAGGAGCCTCATCCCCTCACTGGATCATGCCGTGCTCACACTCGTCATGCCGTGCTCACGCTTGGCAGGCTGCGGTCGCCAGAGAGTTTTGTAGTTTTTTTTTGGAAGTTACACTTATTTCCTTTAAAAATCTAATTATAAAAGTAGTTCTCATTGAGAAAAATGTCAAAGATGCCGCGGGGAAAAGCTCAGGGAAGAGCAGGAACGTCGCCCACCACGACACCCCCGAGACCACTCTGCGTTTTGCTTCCGCTGCCAGCTGTGGTTTTTGCACTAGTAGCAAATACACAGAGACGCACAGATACACGTGCCTGTGTCTCTGTATGTAGATATTTGCGGAAATGGGGCCCATCCGTCGATACATTAGTAACTGTATCGTGACAGCTTAGCACAGAGGGCGATTTTCTGCAACACGACTTTTAATGGCCGCACAATATCCCATCCTGTGAATCTGCGACAGTTCTTTAAGCCGCTTCTCATCAGCGGATCTTCATGTCAATCTCACAGACATCTTCATGGACGCCACAGAGACGTGTTCGCTCGCGGTCATGATTTACGTAGCGAAGTAGAATTACACGCGCAGCTTTTGCCTCTGCGGTATTTACCTCCAGAAGGTCTGCAAAGTCGTGCACTGCTCGCGGCAGTGTTTGGGGGTGCCCGTCGCCTCCCCTGCTGTTGTGGGTTTCAGCAGCTGGTGCGGCGTGTGTGGCCCAGGGGCTGCTGCCGTTGCGAGGACTTTGCCTCACGTCTTGGAGTTTTGGTTCATACTTCCCACACACGTTTTAAAGTGTCAGACATAAAATAAAATATAGGGCCTACTTAAGATACCAGATTGGTCCGCCCACCGTCACCTTCGAAACCTTCCGTGAGAGGGGGCGCTGGGAACTAGCGAGCTTGTCGGACGAAGGGGTTTTCTGAGCAGAGGATGCTTTGGCATCTCCCCTCTCTTCCTCCTGGGTGCTTCACACCCTGTAAATCAAGCACAGCGTTCCAGGAAACTGGGGTGTCGACAGAAGAGAATGGGGCTGGCTGCTCGCTGAGCCAAAGAAGCCTTACTCGAGGAGCATGAGGGTGCATTTGGGGGCTCGGCCTGCGAGGCAGGGTTTGGGTTCGCGGCTGAGTGCAGAGGTTGGGCCCCCTCCTCTCCCCAAAGCGTCTGACAGACGGAGGCCTCTGAGCTGCCGGTGAGGATGGGGCGCCGAGAAAGCCGCACCTTCGCCATCTGCTGGGATGGGGGGCAAAGGGCAGAGGCGCGTGTCTCTTCCTGGGAGTCAAATGCCTGAGAAAGTTGCCAGACTTGAGCTCAGTTCAGGAATGATTGGCAGCCGCAGTAAATGTGCACGGGGAGCGGAATGAGGGGCCGGGGCTGGGGCAAGCGGCTGGCTGGAGGAGACCGCATCTCCTGCATTGGCAGCAGCAGCCCGAGGGCCCTGTGGGGTGCTCAGAGGAGCCCACCGAAGCCCCCTCCTCGAGGGCCACGGGCGTCTGATGCAGCAGGTCCACCCAGGTAGACATCGCCTCCTCCTCCCGCCGTCCGGCCCAGCCCCGGGGGAGCCGGGAGGACGGTGAGGCTGAAGGCAGAGAATTGATAAAAAGCATGTGCTCTGCCCATCGCAGCCGAGCCGAGCTTGGGCCCCGGGGAGACGCTCTGCTCGGGATGCAAGGTTAAGACTCAGACTGGACCGGGCGGGACTCTTTCTGGGTCTCAGGTGACCACGTGGTTTTCCAGTTTTAGTTTGTTAATTTTGCATGATCGACTCCGATGTCAAGCCGGCCTCGCGTCCTTGGGTCACCGCTGTCGGTCACGAAGTGGCCCTCTTCGCGTACTGTTGCATTTCATTTGCTCACGTTTCGTCTGGGGATTTCGCATTTGTGCCCGTGGAGCGATTTCGGGCTGTAGTGTGTCCGTCAGTTCCCGTTTGCTGGAGTTTCCCAGGAAGGCACGGAGGGCTGGGCCGTCTCCGTGGGAGGGCTTCTGACCGAGCTTGTCTGGACCTGGCGTTATTCTTCCCCAGCTGTTTGATGGACGTTATCGGCGGAACCCCCCGGGCCTCGCCTTGTCTTCGTGAGAAGGTTTTGAGCTTCGAGTCCGGCCTCCTCGGCCGGTACAGGGCTCTGCGGGTTGTCTGCATTTTCCAGAGTCACCCGCGGGTGGGTCATGTCTTCTGGTTTGTCCAGTTCCTGTAAGTTGTTGACGTGATCGGCGCGAAGTCGTTTACAATAGTCTCTCCCTGTTCATACCTGTGGCATCCGAAGCGACGTGGCCGCCCTCGCTCCTGAGGCTGCTCATTTGCTCCTTCTATTTCTCCTGGTCAGTCTGGCTCTAGGTTTATCAATTCCACTTCATTTATTATTTATTTATTTTTATTATTTATTATTATTTATGCCTACAGCACCTGGTCGTCCTAGGTGGTCTCCCATCCAAGGACTAACCAGGCCCGACCCTGCTGAGCTCGGAGCTCAGACATCGGGCGTGTTCGGGGTGGCGTGGCCGTAGACCGTGGGCCGTGGCTCCACTGGGGCGCGAGCCCAGGACCTTCTGCGTGTGAAGCGGACGTGCTCGCCGCTCACTGTGGAAACACGTCCCTATCAATTTTATCGAACTTCTCGAAGAACCAACTTTTGTTTCATTGGTTTTCTCTCTTTTTGGTTCTGTTGTCTATTTCATTGATCCTGCTGTGAACTTTGCCCTTTCTTTGTGCGGGGAGCCAGGCTTCGGGGGGATTTCTCTCGTCGTCACCCTCACTTTCCTCCCTCTCTCTCTAGAAAACTCTTCCTCCGTGCTTCCCCAAACGCCCCCCGCCCCCTCCCGGGGCTCAGGCCCTCCCGAATCCCGAATCCCGAATCGCCGTGGGAGAGGGGCCACTTCCTTTCTCTGCCATGTGATGCATCTGCGTTTTCCTCAGAGACGTTTTGGAGACGACGTCTTGGCCCAAAGAGCAGCCAGTCGTGGGGGTTCCGGTTTCGGTGTCAGGCTGATGGGGAGGAGGCTTGCGAGGTGGCGGCTCTGGCACCTGTCCGACCCCGGCGCGCCCCGTGGGCTGCTTGTCGCCTTCCTGCTCACCTCTGCACTGACTTCGCTGTGACCTCTCTTCCCTCCCCAGGCTTGTCACAGGAGCTGGCGTCGGCCACCCTTCCCCCCCGGAGGCCCACGTCGCCCGCGCCTTCACTAAGCCCTGTTAACTGTACAGCGGCATCTCGGTCGGGAGCCCTCGCTGTCCAGACAGGCGAACCCCGACTCAGAATCATGGCGAACTTTACAAAGCACATGAAACCAGCTAAGTCCATGATCAAACCCTAGTGGTGGTGGTTTTCTCATGGGAAAAAAATTGCAGGATTTTCCAAAAGATGGAGACTAATCCCACGTTTTAGGCACACTTGCCTGGTCCTCCCGTGGGCAGAGTGAAACCAGGGCCAGGGGTCGGAGGCGTTGCGGGAGGGCCGGACGCGCCGCCCTACAGCCGGTGGGGGGAGGGCGGTCCGGTCCCCCAGCCCCTCCCACTCCTACATCGCTGCTCCGAGCGCCCACCTCTGAGGCTGACGTTTCTGGGACAGGTGGAGCGAGCTCTTGTCTCAGGCATTTTGCTGAGACGCCGCGTCATCTCGTTTTGAGTCAGGCATTTTGGAAGCAAACCCGGTGTGAGAGCGCGGCTCCTCCCTGCGTGGCGGGCACGAAGGAGCAGAGGCTCGGGGCGGAGACGCAGCCCGAGCGAGGGCGCGTGGCCAGAAAGTGACACGGTCACGGGGGACGCGAAACGCAGGCTCCTAAGTGCGGCATCGGCGTAGTTTCCGATCCCCATTTTGCCAAAAGCCGCGACGAGATATTTCTGAAGGCTTCTCGTGTTCAGGACACTTGCTAACTGTGTATCCTGGGCACGTAACGTAAACTCTCTGATCCTTCGTTCCCTGGGTATCTGCCCCGTTGATTTGAGGGCAAGAGTGAGCGCGTGGGCCGGTATGGACGCAGTGGCGACAGGTAGTGGGCGCCGGATAAACCGCGGCTATGTGACCCCAGTGTCTCCCGTCACTGATGTGCATTTGTTCGAATCGCCTTGGACGCTTGGGTAAAGGGCCGTAAAGTCCACTGAGTCCTTCGGCTTCTCCAGCCAGATGAGCGACACGTGTCTTTGAAACCGTCACCGCCATCACACAGTAACAGAAAACGACATTTGCTTGGCACTTCTTTGGAGATTATTATATGAGTACAGAGGAAAAAAAAAAATCCAGAATCATGTATTTAGTGGCTGGAGTTATCTAATTAGGCAGGTGACATCAGGGTTAATGGCTCATTAACACAGAAAATGAGCAATTAGCTCATTGTTTCCGTAATTTTATGCGCTCAAGCAGGCAGCTGTTCCTCGGCGGCTGCATCTCATGGAGTTGTGTAGGGGTAACTTCTCTTGGTTTGTTTTCCAGCTCGGTCTGTGAGTTCATGCCCGTTGCTGATCCTCGTGGCTTGTTGTTTTCCACGGTTAGTGTGCAGGCGTCTGTAATCGTGTGACAGTTTGTGACGATGAACAGGGCTGTGCATTCCCGCGCCGGCCCCCCGCACGCTGCGCCTCACTCCAGGATGCACAGCGTCCCGTCCCAGGCCCCTGGCAGGGCCCTGGCTGGATCCAGCTGAACCCGAACCCCTCCTGGGTCTCCCCTGCATCTTCATCAGCGAGGCCCCCCACCTTCGCTTGGGTTCTGGGGGCGTAGGATTCGTAGTTAGCACGTGTTTGTTAGTTTGAACTGCATCCTGAGGCTCGATTTTCCTTTTTTCAGATCAAACCGGTGGTGCATTGTGATATAAATGTGCCTTCCAGGTGGCAGACCTTCCATCATCTATCCCGACGCATAAGGTGAGTATCGTGGGAGAGGAAGCCCGATGGGCGGGGCCCCTGAGGGTAACATGACTGTCCCCCCAGCCCCCTGGTTCTCTGCCGGTCACTTGTCTTGCGGGTCAGCTCTGTGCGACAGCCTGTCAGGGGCCATGTGTCCTTTTTCTCTTGGACCTTGATTTTGGAGACGCCGTCCAGCTGCCACGTCGTCGGTCAGACGGGTTCCGTGGAGGTGAAGACACACAGCTTCACCTGGGAAAAGCCGAGGCTTTCCGAGCCTCTTCTCCCACGTGGCCGTGCAGCGGCTGGATGTCGGAGGCGGTTTCGGGCTCATTCCCCCCCAGGACTGTTCCTTCCAGGCTGGTCGGGGTTACAGCCGGGCCAGGCGAGCGTTGGGGCAGGACTGGAATGTGTGGGAGCCAGCGACGGCGCTGGGTGGAGGGTCCCCGTAGCGGGTGTCCATCCAGGGGACCGAGACTGCGTTGTGGGGGGAGGCCAGTCCTTGGGGGACGTAGAGAGAGAACCTATGTGGCTTCAAACACTGGTTCGAATCCTGCTTCCCAGCGCACACTCATCTCTGTGAAGGGGCCGTCTCATTGTGAAGCCGGACTGATACCGTCCACCGGCCAGGTGCCCCAAGGGGGACCAGGTGACGCTTCCGAGGAGCCCCACCCGGTGCTGGTCACGGAGCCGGAGACCTCCACGTGGCACTGCTTCCCCCAGTCCTCCTCCTATTGCGACGTTTTGATGTTTTGGGGTTGAAACCCCCGGCGTGACGATCGGGACGGTGTCCTCCCCGTGCCCCGAGCTGCTCCCCGTGGATGGAGGGCCAGTGAGCCTCAGTCGTGGGCCCTCGGCGTCAGGGGGACACTGGCAGACGCGTCCAGTCCTGGCCTTTGTCAGCGGAGTCGCGTCTGCCACATTCCTGACGACTGCCCTTCACCCTCGTGCTGGCCAGCCCGGGTGGAGACCAGGAGCTGGGGAGCCCCCTGCGGGCGCCAACAGAGCCCGGACTGGGACACAGGACAAAGGGAACTGTTATTAGTGGCACCTGCCCCTGTCGCCTGGCCTTGAATCCTGACTCCCGTCTCTTTAAAACACTCTTCCTTAGGCTTCCATGAAGAAACCACTTAATCATGCGAGGTCCTTCCATGAATAAACCTTTTTTATAAATGCCTTTTTTAAATCCGAGAACTGTTCTGCAATGATGAGAGACAAGGTATTTGTAAACAGCATGGGCGTGTCTTTCTGAAGCGCGTGCAGAAACCTCAGGGGGACATTCTTGGCCTATGGGTTCTTCCTGGCGAAGACACACGTCCCCAAAGCCACACTTTTTTTGCATGGCCTAAGACATCAGTGAGTCTCGCTGAGTCGGACAGACCTTTTTCCTGTCACAAACCACTTCCCCCGCGGCATGCGCTCCCTCCTCTATGTTGGTGTCCCGGAGGCCCCACTAGATGGACCCAGACATCCGTCCAAATGCCCGGCCCTTTCTGCAAGGAAGAGACCTGGCCGTACTGGCTCAGAGGCCTTGCAGCTATGTGACCCAACACACAGAAGACCGTCGTGATGGCTTCAGGGTCTTTGTTGGCGGGAGAAAGGGGTGTTGACCCTTCCTCGCCAACGGGGGGGCCGAAGCAGAGGGCCGGTGGCTCGCTGGGCGCGAGGTCTGCAGCAGCCCGTGTGGCAGAAAGAACCAGATGTCCCCGAGTGTCCAGGTCTCCTGTGAACGTAGCTGGTCGACGTCGCGTGTATCTGAAGCCGCCAGCGTGGCGGTCGAGGCGCGTGTCCTGGTCGGTCTCTAACTAAGCTGCGTGACGTGGGAAACTGCTTCCTCATTTTACTTTTTTTAAATTTGTTTTTCAATTACAGTTGACATGCAGTATCCTGTCAGTTTGGGGCTTACGACAGAACGATTAGACTGTTTAAAAGAGTTTATTTTCATTTGTCAATAGAGTTGTTAGTTTCAGGTGTGCAACGTAGCGATTAGCCATTTAGACACCTCACGAGGGGCTCACCCTGTGGGTCTCGTGTGCCACGGGAAACGCTGAGTAAATGGCAGCCACGGTCATCATTGTCACCATCACCATCATCAGCCACGCGACGAAAATCCATTCCTCAATCCATGTGCTCTTTTTTATTTTATAATGTTTAAAATGTTTCCTATTGAAAATGACCATTTTCAGTGGCCACAGCATTTATCGTCGTGTGGCTAGGCCGTGCTTCACTTAACCATTCGTCCATACCACACAGGTTGCTTTTGCTTTTTTGTTTTTCTAAATAATCCCGTGAGAAGCGCCTTCACAGGTAGATCCTTGTCCTTTCTGTGGGTGTCACGGAGCGGGACGACTGGTCAGTGGCGACTGACCCGCGTATCTCGCTGGTCTGTATCACCGGTCACCCTTCGGGAAGGCCGTGCTCACCTTTATCTACAACAATGTGTGTGTGTGTGGGCGCACGTGTGTGCGTGTGCACGTGTGTATATTAGTCAGCTAATATAACTTTGGGGGGCACACGAGTCAGCCATCATGGTGTTCCTGTTTTCCCACGCTCACGATGAGAATGTGTATTAAATACCTTTGGACATTTAGACAAAAATACAACATGACTTTGTTGAAACATTTCTGTCTTTTATTATGATTCATGTACGTTTGGAAAGACTTCCAGCATCAACCGTTTAGGAAAACCGATAAATGGCAAGGCGGTAGCAGGGATTCACAGAGTGATTCTCTCACGGGGGCGGGCAGTGATGTCACCCGCACGTGACGTCCCTTTCCTGGGTTTGCTTTGGGGCAGCCCAAAATAGGCAGACGACCCTTGGCGGAGTGGGAGCCTTAACAGAGAAAACCAGTTCTCTTTGGACCTGTACATTAACATTTATATTTACTCCGAAAAAAGGGGTGTATCACTCCCATTAAAAATTATTGGCATATTAGGAACAAACGACAACAGAATTACAGCTACCACAAATAGTAACCTAAAGAATTAAAAACCAGAATCGTAAAATCGAGCTCCTATATTGTTAAATACCATTCGTTCCTTTTAAAGAAACAAACCTCGTATTTTACGTTATTTTAATGAGTCACCAGAGTTTGCAACTGTCGCCAAGCAGCTTCGACAAAGTGGCGCAGCTTCGTTAGCCTCTGACCACTGGGTTTGCCTCCCCCGCCCCCCATAAAACGTAGAAATAAGGAAATCGAGCCCCTGAGATCCCTGTGCAGCTGCCTTAAAGCTGCAGGAGTGAAACCCATTGTCTCTGTTCTCTCTGAAAGGGTCGCGCAGTGTCCCCCTGGGACTCTCGGCTGCGGGAAGGGAGAGAAGCCGACGTTTTGAGGGCGGCGTCTCCGCCTCTGCTCTCCGAGGAGACGCCGTTTTCCTCCCTTTTACCCGGCACAGTGGAGACGTATGTTTTTTGTCGCGTTCCGTGCCGCTCACCTGGCATTTGATGCTCCACGAGAACACGTTTCCCCAGGGTCTGGTTTTGTCGCCGGGCCACGAGCCCTCTACCACCCAGACGGTGATGTGCGGCCTGCGCACTGCCTGCTCTGGTCTCTCTGTGGTCACCCACCTGTCTCTGGATTTCCTGTGCTCCCCGCGAGCCCCGCGCACTAACGGTCACGTGTCTTTCCCTCCTGCAGCGTTTTCACGAATGGAAAGTTACTTCTCCCTCCCGTCCGAGTCATCATACCCAGGCCGAGACTGGCAGAGTGGGAGAGCGTGCTGGCCACGATCAACGAGAAGGTCTTCCCTCTGGGGGGCGTGCGGAGGTACGGCCTGTCGCCCGGGGACCGGCGGGCGGGGGTCACCGCGGCGCGTGCCTGCTGGCCCAGCCAGGCGGAAGGACTCAGCGTCCCCTCTGATTTCAACGCTCGGAGGCTTCGCTGAGCTCCGACCTGCTCCCTTTCCGCGTCCAGCGATGCTGCCGGGGCGTGGTGGACGCGGCCTCAACAGACAGTCATGTCCCCAGCCCCACCGGGCGCACCAGCCTCAGCGATTAGTCAGACGCTGCGGCCGGGATGAACGGGGCCTCCCAGGGGTCGGGAGAAGCCAGGGGCCGCGTGGGGCGCCGGTGTCTGAGCCGAGACGCGGTGGTTAGTGGGGGAGGTGGGTCCTGCAGGAAGGGGACCGCTGGCCGACCTGGAGCCAGACCTCGTCTCTGCCGCCTGCTTCCGGTCACCTCGGGCCCTGCGCATGGTCTGGGGGCCTGTTTCCTCGTCTAGAAGCCTGGGAGTCGAAGCATCGCCTGCCCCGGCCCCGAGTCTAATGTGCGGGAAGCACTTAGCGCTGGGCGTGCAGTGAGCCTGGGGTCAGTGATCGCGGACGGGCATGGCACTGGGCGCTGTTTGCCACACGCGGCTTGGTGTCCTGTGAGGGAGCAGCCAGGCCTGACGTGGGGACGCTGTCGGATCCAGGCTGTGAAGGGCCTGCTGGCCAGACAGCACCTCAGTCCCATTCTGTGGATGGACGTGGTGTGGCAGCCACGATGGAGGTGCAGGGCCCTGAGCAGGCGGGAGGCGCGGTGGCCTGGCAGTGGGCGCCAGAAAGGCCGCGTCCTGGACGCGTGGGAGGAGAACCGGCCGCA